GATCCCCAATATCTTAGCTCTGGGTGCTACCAATGGAGTAAGTAGCTTCTAGCTCCTTCCTTTGCCAGCAGCAAGGGAGACCTCTTTGAAGTTTCAAAACAGAAGATTCTACAGGATTTTTCTATAGATATGGAAAGCCAGTAGCATATGAATAATGATGTAAGTGGTCCACATCTGATCATATCAAAGAGCTTCTCACTTTAAATACCAGAGCGCTGGTCAAGGTGCAGTAAGAACAGGAGAAAAATCAGTCAACAAAGGTGAAGGAAGGTGAGGGTAGATGATTAGGAAACAGAATTTTTAAATTATAAGACTTGGAGAGTAGCAGTATCATAAAAGTATTATTAATCAAAAGGATAGATTTCTGTTTTATAGTTAACATCTAACACTCACTGTGTACAAATTTTTTTATTGTACAAAGTGACACACGGTTAAATCATAATAATGTGAATCAATAACTAATTAGCATTTATAAATGCAACTGCTAGGGAACATATTTCAATTTCATTGCAAGGAAGCTAGAGAATCTATCAACAAAGCTAAATAGGAAATCAGCACATTCTTGGAGAGCCCCCAGTGACTCCACAGGCAAACATGGAACTGCAGGTTGAGTCAAAGCTGAGTCCCTAAAATGTGTATGTATAACCCCAGGCAACTATCTCCAGCCGGGCTTCGGAGGTGGCTCAGTGGTAAAGAATCTGCCTGCCAATGCAGGATACTCAGGTTCAATCCCTGGGTCGGGAAAGATCCCCTGGAGGAGGAAATGGCAACCCACTCTAGTATTCTTGCCTGGAGAATCCCATGCCCAGAGAAGCCTGGTGGGCTACAGCCCATAGGGTGCAAAGAGTCAGACATGACTGAGCATGCATGCACCATCTCTAGTCACATCAATAATTAAACACAGAGAGAAGATGAAGCATGAGGTGCTTAGGTTCCCCCCGAGTCACTGGGGAAATGGATCTTCTCTGGAAAGTTCTCTAGCATGGCCTGATGGAGACGAATGGGACAAAAGGAAGCAGGAGGAAAGAAAGTTTGCTAGACAAGAATGGCTGCACATACAGTGTTTTGGGGAAGACACAAAGATGCATGGACCTGGGATAGTTGTGAAAACTGACTCAAGAAGACAGATGACTTCAAACTCGACATGCTTCCCTTGCTTCACCTTTGGCAGGTGTTGGGAAGAAAATTGAAATGGAGTAGTTAAAGTGAGCAAATGATTCCACAGCATCCATACGTGTTGCTTTCCTGACATACGGTGTCACCCGCAACATTCACTGCCCTGTGCTGAGTGCCCACATGGTCCATCGCAATCAAGTGCAGCAGCCTTCGGTTCCCCAAGGGCCCTGGGAGAATGAAATGGTCCTCTGAGGCCAGAGCCAGGGATCGGGGGCAAAGAATAAAGGAAAGGATTAACATGCTAAGAGTGGAAGAGGGAAAGCGGGTGAATGAAAAGAAAAGGCAGGAGTAAAAAGTAGCATGTGAGTGGGAAGACTGGGGCTTCCCTGGTCGCTCAGACGGAAAAGAATCCACCTGCAATGTGGGAGACCCAGGTTCGATCCCTGGGTTGGGAAGATTCCCCTGGAGAAGGGAATGGCAACCCACTCCAGTATTCTTGCCTGGAGTATTCCATGGACAGAGGAGCCTGGTGGGCTAGAGTCCTTGGGGTCAGAAAGAGTCAGACACAACTGAGACTAACCTCCACTTTTCACTTCACATTCAGATCCTGGAAAGCCTTGAGCATCACTGGAGAAGAGAACAGCCTTTCCCTGACCTCCTAGCATATCCACTTGTTCCAGCATAACAGTTGCATATCAGTTGCCTCCTTCAAGGCATAAGTCAACATTTCATTGTCACAGATTTATTCCAGTGAAGCTCTAAAACTCTCTGACCTATCGGGTTGTCAACATACACAAAATTCATATTATGGTTCGGCTCAATTTCCAAGGTCTCCTCTAGAGGATTTCTTGATCTCACTTAGCATTGCCCGTCATCCGCCACATTAGTTCTCCGGTCTGGCATGTGCCACCATCTATCATCTTACTAGATTCACCTTAGAGAGACTGCAAGTTAGTTGCCTCTAAGTTAAAAGTGGGGATGGATATTCTATATCCACTTTTGGAGTCATGCAGCCCCCCTCCCATCCACTTTGATTTCCTTTCTAGACATTCTGTGATCCCTAAGATTGGGTCCAATGGCCTCCTTGCTATTCCTACAGCATTCTGTAGGTGCCCGAGCCCTGGAACTCACCACACTCTTACTCGGCTGGCTTTCCAGTGAAATGAAGATTCCTTCAGGGCAAGAAGAATATCCAAGACCATGCATGCATGCTAAGTCACTTCAGTTGTGTCCAACTCTGTGCAACCCTATGGATTGTAGCCCACCAGACTTCTCTGTCCATGGGATTCTCCAGGGAAGAATACTGGAGTGGATTGCCATGCCCTTCTCCAGGGGATCTTCCCAATCCAGGGGTCAAACCTGTGTCTCTTACATATCCTGCATTGGCAGGCATGTTCTTTACCAGTAGCGCCACCTGGGAAGCCCATGGTATCCACAATGCTTGGTAAAATTCCTAGCACATAGTTGGTGCTGCAAGTGATTGAATGAATGTTGAATATTCATCTTTGGAAAAGAGAGAATCATATTCTAGAAGCTGGGGAGCTAATAAGACTCTCTATGTGACAAGATTTTGTGTCAGTGGAGAAAAAAGAAATTCTCCAACTACCCCTCAAAGTTAATATTTTATTAAATGAAGAATAATTAGGACTAGCAATTTGGATATGTAACACTGAAGTGGCATTTTTTACCAATCTTGTTGTTGTTCTGTTATGTCCAACTCTTTGCGACCCCATGGACTGCAGCACACCAGGCTTCCCTGTCCTTCACCATCTCTTGGAGCTTGCTCAAACTCATGTCCATTGAGTTGGTGATGCCATCCAACCATCTCATCCTCTGTCATCCCCTTCTCCTCCTGCCTTCAATATTTCCCAGCATCAGGGTCTTTTCTAATGAGTCAACTCTTTGCATCAGGTGGCCAAAGTATTGGAGTTTCAGCTTCAAAATCAGTCCTTCCAGTGAGTATTCAGGAATTGATTTCCTTTAGGATTGACTGTTTGATCTTCTTGCAGCCCAAGGGACTATACCAATCTACCTCAGACTTACTGACAGTTGGAAAACAATAGGTGTATTTTAGTCAATGGTTAAGTCCCATTATCAATGTCCCACCATCAAAAAAAAATTACAATTTTTTTCTTTGTAATCTCTGCTATTAATATTTCTTTTCTCCTTCTATCCTGTTACAACCATCAAGATACATTTATCCACAAATGGCAAGTGCCTTGAATTATAGTTTCCCTTGTCTTCCCAAGTGTTCATTTTCTTCTGTCTCATGTGGAGTAATCAACATGGGATTGATGGCTCCCTCACATAAATTTCCATGAGGAAAAGCATCTGTCCTGTTAGTTAACATCCTGTCCTGTTCACAGTGTTAACACGCACTGTTACTGCCTCTTCACCGTAGTGAAAGATGCAATGTTCAGGGGTTCCTCCAGGTCAAATGATTGTTCTATGGGGCCTTATGAAGGTGTACAAAGCACTATTTTTTTCTCACGATGTAAGCATACCAATTTTTTCTTTTTGAGTGGCAAAGTTTCTATGTTCTATCTGGCTACAGTCTTGCATACAAATCCCTTGTAAATTATTTTTCAAATTCTGAGGTTCATTAATTTAACTGAATCTGTTCCTAATTTTAATTAAATCTGCATTTCTCCCCACTGGGAGAAATAACTTTTGGAAAGATAGAAGCCACATTACCATACTGGAGAGAAAGGATCACAGAGCAAGACAGACATAAAAGAGATGCACAAAATCACAAGGCAGGTTTTCCTATAAATTTATTTTCATACTGAAAAAATAACATTCAAAGGCAATGTTTTTATTGTATAGTATAAAATGACTTCCACTAAATTAAAAATGGAATTTCTTTGCTGTAAGCCACTGATAACTTTTTCATTAAAAAAATTTACAATTTGCAGCACTTATAGAAAAAAAACACCTGTTTAATAATTATATAAATACTCTTGACAGAGCCCAGTAGCCCATTATGTATCTTTTTAGCAATGTCAGCTTTCTAAAGTCAATTAGCTTCTAAATTTGAAAGGCACCTGGTGGCCAACATTCTGCTTATTATTCAAGGCATCCATTTTAATTTTTTTGCACAGACTTGACAAGTCTGAAAAATCTATTAAGTTAAAAAGAATGGAGAAATATAATACAGTTGATATTAGCAAACAACATTTTTTCCCCTCAGCCGCAAGTTTTCCCCCAGGGGATTTACAAAGTGCACCAGTTAAATATGTCTGTACATTTAAAACATTAAATATGTCAACAGCAAGACAGTTTTAAATATTTTGAATCAAATACTATAGCACAAATATAATTTACAATACTTTGCACAGGAAACATTACATCTGAAATATAACTTTAGATATCATATAAAAATACATATATTCTTCTCTCCTCATTAGAAAAAGTATTTATTTGCAGGTTCCAGCAAGATGTAACAATTCAAAAGAATTTAACTCTTTTTCAGATGGTCACCAGTTTGCAATTAGAAGACGCCCTCTGCACTTCAACTGCATGATGGTATACAACCAACAGATTACAGAGCCGGAGAATTAACCCCTCCCATTGCCCAAAGGCAGTTTTTCATAAAGGCAGCCATAACTGCTCCAATCTGCTATAATTCTAGGAATTCATTACAAAATTTATGAACCATTATGTAAGAAAACCCTTAGATTTTTATACACCTTGAGTCCAACATCTCCCATTGGCTGTGAATACACTTGCTCCCTACAGAGTCAAAGGCATGGGTAGGGTCTTCTTGTACCCTGTGGGTCATAGCTCTGAGTACTTTCACATACCTATATACATCTTTCTTGGCTTGTTTTCCAAGTTTTCTATACATCCTAGGAAACACGGGAAAACTCTCCCCGACATGGGGCTCAATCTATATCTCGAACTTTAAAGGCCCCAAAGTACGTTGCATCTTGATCTGGATCCAGTAGTGAAGGGTTGGACACCTCAATGCTTATTTTCTCGCCAGACCGTAGCTTAAAAAAGCCTCCCACGTTTATGGAGTAAAAATGGAATTCAGAATTCCCCGACCAGTACTTGGTGCTCCCTCCTTTCATCAGAGTGTGAGAGCTGGGGATTTTGATGCTGGTTTTGGTGACATATACCATCAGCTGAAGGTAATTCACACTGAGGTTTCCCGAAGTCTCATGATGTCGGAAGCAGATGTTGGCGTACAGGTAGTAGAAGCCGTCTTGGTTAACTATTAGCTTCCCATTGCTGAAGGTCATGTTGGAGATTTTGGCCCAGCCTCGGTCATGGTACCAGCAGGACAGAGTCACTTTGTGGGAACCTGAGGAAAGGAGAGGCATGCGATTTGAAACTTACTCCTGCGATGAGAAGCATAGCCTCTGGTGCACTGGGAAGACCCAGAGGGATCGGGCGGAGAGGGAGGTGGGAGGGGGGACCGGGATGGGGAATACATGTAAATCCATGGCTAATTCATTTCAATGTATGACAAAAACCACTGCAATGAAAAAAAAAAAAAGAAGCATAGCCTCACAATTCTGTGAGGTCGCAGAAAGACGTACTGAGATGTCATTGTTCCACTGGGAGAATGACTTCTCAAAATTTATTTTCTAAAAGGAAAGTAAAAGTACAATAAGATGTCCCCGTGTTGTCTGCTGGGCACCTGAGAGGGGATAAAGACACAGTCTCACTTTTCCCTCAAGGAGCCTGCAGCACACAAAAGATAAGCATGATACATGTTCAGACAGGAAGCAAGACGCGGACCTGGATGAGAAAGGTGTGGATGTTGCAAAGGGAATTCAAAGGAAAGAGATTACTTCCTTCCAGAAGGATCAAGAATGATTTTGTTGGGCTTGTGTGTTCAGTCGCTTCAGTTGAGTCCAACTCTTTGCAACCCCAGGGACTGTAGCCCACCAGGCTCCTCTGTCCATGGGATTTTCCTGGCAAGAATACTGGAGTGGGTTGCCATTTCCTTCTCTGGGGGATCTTCCTAACCCAGGGATCGAACCCGAGCCTCCTGCATTGCAGACAGATTCTTTACTGCTGAGTCACCACGGAAGCCCTACTGAGCCTAATAACCTAAAGAAGTAATAGGATTCAGTCTATAGAGCATAAAGGTTGAAGGAAGAGAATCATCCAGAGGCAGCTGAATCAAGAAAGCAGAAAACAAATACAGGAAGAGAATATCCAAAGTTCACATGGTCCCACCTTCTCTTTTAATTCATGGAGAAAGGTACATAGAAGGAGCTGAAAATCTGGGTCACAGCAACTTTAACTAAAAAGTCAAACTCTTAAATTATATTCTCATCACCATTGATTCTCCCCTCCTCCAACAGCCCAAATGCCTCCCAAGTTCACAGGAATGAAAAGCTTCCCCTAGGGAAGTTCACAGAGAAACTGGCATTGCCCTCCCCAGGTTCACAACTTCATGCAGCCTTTTGTGAAGACCAAAGGATGGTAAAAATGTCTTCTGAGAAAGGGAATTCTCCTTTAGCCCCTTCTCATACTTGAAATGTGACAACCGATGTTCATGCCACTGTTTTTGGAGTAGTGGAAGTTTCTAGAAGTCATCGAAATGTGTCCAATGCTTTGACTGTTTCAGGCCTTTTAGTGTATTTTACTAGGTCTTTAGAAATTGCTGTTGTTGCTGTTTAGTTGCTCAGTCATGTTCGGCTGTTTTATGGCCCCGTGGACTGTAGCCCACCCAGTTCCTCTGTCCATGGGATTTCCCAGGCAAGAATACTGGAGTGGGTTGCCATTTTCTTCTCCACAGGATCTTCCCAACTCAGGGATCAAACCCATGTCTCCTGCATTGGCAGGCTGATTTTTTTTGCCACTGAGCCACCAGGGAAGCCCTTCTTTAAAAATTGTGATATGATAAATCCATGATAAACCCCATTAATCAAAATTTATATTTATGTGGACACCCATTATCCAACTGGAAAAGGTCTCATCTAGTAGAGAAAAAAGCTGTTATACTGCAGAAAATCCAAAGTTTTCCACCAGAGGATTTTGTGAATACTTATGCTAAATCAAGGTTGTCATCTCCTAGAATTCCAACAAGACAAAACAGAGCCGAGGAGTCTCAGAATGGGGTTAGGAGTACTTTCTGCAGCCGGGGAGAAGTTCTTTGCTGCCTGTCAGTCAAGAGAAATCAGTCCATGAAACTTACACTTACAGTAGATTCCATGGATCCACAGAGCCGACAGCCCTTTGGTTAGAGTGGGTCCTTGGGCGAACCCTGTAGAATCAGAACCTTTCAAGACTGGCCTGAATCCTGGAGAAACCTGAACACCTACATCATCTTTTTCTAGAACACCTGCAGAGGGCCACTGGGCAGCTGGAATATGGTCTGGGGACCTCAGCACCAGGCTCTTCCTCCACCAAGAAGAAAACAAATGCAGGACCATCCAAGCTACATTAGGGCCACCCATCCTTAGGCCTCAAAGGCAAAGAAGGCAATGCTTCCAACCCCTCAGTTCAGAAATGGGACAGACTTCCTGAGCTGCACAGCTGATCCACAGGAGGGCGCTAAGAGTGGGTCCGAGACGCCACCACAGGCACTGCGGCCTCCAGAGCCAGCAGAGCACACACCCGTCCTCATCCAAGGTCCTACTTCAGATCATCCCAGACTAAAACACCCCAAATGTAAGTATCATGCCATGGCCCCAACTGACTCAGAAACGAGACTCTCAGGCTCTGTTCATCACATCCTCATAAACACTAGCAAAGTTACTTCTCTGGGCTGGTAAACAGCACCTAGTCCATTGACAAAGCTAATAAAACGCAAGGTGTTTCCTATCTCAGATCATCACATGGTTACCTCCTTCTTCCCCTACTTGTCTATTCAATCCCTTATCCAACCAATTATTGGCCTTACACTTTATCTTCCTTTCATGATGGCCCTTAACAGACAGCAAAGGAATGTCTAAGGTGAGGTCTGTCCTCTCAATGGGATGGATCAGCTCGCCTTAGACCAAGGGCTGGGAGATTGGTCTGGGAAGGCAGGGAAGAATATAGAAACCTTGGCCGCGTGCCACTCTCATTGTTAACCTCAAGTGGAAGGAGTGTCCTAATTTCCTGCTTTATAGACTTACTTTTATCAATTCTCTGATCGATTCAGTCATTCAGTAAATATTTGATTGGTGCTTCCTATGGGCATTCATTCTACCCATAATTAAGAATTATATCAAGCAGAGTACCCACAAGGCACTTACGACTTAAAAGTGAAGAAAATAAGAAATGGGCACGCAAAATGAAAAAATGTAACATTTTCATCTCTGCATGTCACATAACACATGGTTGAACTTCAGTTAAAGCAACTTGCAAGTGGAAGCTGCAGAAATTAATGGCGATCAGGCGAGTTCAGCCCAGTGACAGAGAACAGGGAGGACTTGGATCAAATGTGGATGGGCTGAGACAAGGCAGAGTATTATGAGCATTGTGAGCGAGAGAAACTGTTCAAGCAAAGACTGGAATGCACACAGTATGCAAAGGAGAAAGGAGAAAAACCATCAGTGTGAACTGAAGGGTTCATGAATAGATGCCAGTGGGAGAAAAGGAGAGAAGAGCGCCCCCATCAGGTTGGAGGACCTCACACGCAGGCCTGAGCATCTATCACTAGAGGACCTTCAGCCTTCCCAGCCTCCCCAACCCCTAGAGTCACTGCTATTAGCTATTAGAGAAGTCTCTCCAGCCGTTTAGCCTGAAATCCCCTTAAGAAAGCCATGAATATTCACAAAATACTCACAAAAATACTCCCCAATAAAAATTCAAGAAGCTTTGAAATATATCAGTATAAGGCAGATTCTGATTTCTTTCATATGTGTAAACAAGTAAAAATAAGTATGAAATGGCTCCTCTGTCCACAGAATTTTCTGGGCAAAAATACTGGCATGGGTAGCCATTCCCTTCTCCATGGGATCTTCCCAACCCAGGGATCAAACCGAGGTCTCCTGCAATACAGGCAGATTCTTTACCATCTGAGCCCCCAGGGAAGCCCATGGCTCAGATGGTAAAGAATCTACCTGCAGTGCGGGAGACCAGGATTTGATCTCTGGGTTGGGAAGATCCGCTGGAAGAGGAAATGGCAACCTACTACAGAATTCTTGCTGCAGAATCCCCATGGACAGAGGACCCTGGCGGGCTACAGTCCAAGGGGTTGGGGTTGCAAAGAGTCGGACACGAGTGAGCAGCTAAGCACAAGTATGAAACAGAGACTCCAAGTGAGCATGCAAACGTGAAGCCATCTTTCTCCCAAGTGTCCAACCCTGGTCCAAACTAGGAGATAGATGAACTCAAGGAGGCACTGACCAAGCCGGAAGATCAAACTCTATTTTATTAAACAGAAGCGAACACTAGCTCATTTCACTCCATCTCAAGCTCAATAACCATCAGAAAATGTCCAGGAGTTTTGCCTTGTTTTTGGCAATGATTTGATGCTATGTGCCTGGAGGGAGAGCTTTATAACTAAAACATGCTTGTTATTGCCAAATAGACTTTGGCACACAGTCTAATGTAATATTTATCATATGCCATTTAAAATGAACTGAAAAGATAAATGCAGAGTACATTCACAGCACACACAGATGATAGATCAGTATTAATTTGATTGCCTCTGCTAACATGCAAAATAGTTTTCCACTCAGAAAATTAGAACAGTTCCATAAGGCACATAAACAGAGAGAGAGAGAGACAGAGAAAAAGTAAATTTGTTTATGAAGCAAATATCTGGGACAGGAGAGATAGTTGAGGAAAATCTTCTGAAAATCAAAGAGGTGGTTGCTCACTTTCTATGTCTGCAGAAAGGCAAAATTCCTTTGTGGTCCATACTATTAAATATAATAGTGGCTTCAAACTGTTTATTAAAACTTGGAGTTTTAAAAAAAAATTAGCACTTCCCATATGGTATTGATTCCTGGTTTTCATACAGGCGGCCCAGGTTCGACTCCTGGTATGGAAGTGGTAACCTTTTGGGTTTCCCAGGTGGCTCAGTGGGTAAAGAGTCTGCCTGCAATGCAGGAGACCCAGGTTTAATCCCTGGGTTGGGAAGACGCCCTGGAGAAGGGAATGGCAACCCAATCCAGTATTCTTGCCTGGAGAATCCCATGACAGAGGAGCCTGGTGGGCTACAGTCCACAGGGTCACAAAGAGTCAGACACGACTGAAGTGACTGAGCACAGCACAGCACAAGAAAAATTTGCCTTGAATCATTTTTTTGGGGAAAAAAAGAATATTTATTTAATTAAACTTTCAATAACAAATTACATTCACTGAGTGCTTACTCTATGCTCATTTCCATGTAAGCATGTTAGTACATGAGCTGGTTCAATCTTCATAGCTACTGCAGGAAGTAGATACTATTACCATCCCCATGAAGAAGCTGACATACAAAGGATTTCAATAATATACACAAGGTCACCCAGTCAGGAAGTTCAGTGGGGCCTCAAACCCAGGCAGTCAGACCTGAGACATCTGCTATTAAAACGGCATTCATCTACTTCTTACAGGAAAAGAGGAACATAAGAACGCTGAATGTATTTCCCTCTGACAAAGCCAACTGGCCACAAGGTACTTATGTGATACTCTACAGAGTAAAAAGCATGGACTTGGGAATCAACTAGAGTGGAATACAGTTTCTAAGCCTGCCATGTTGTAGCCTGGATCAGGTAACTTACACTAGGTACATCTTGGTTTCCCTATTTGCAAAATCTGATAATCACTCTTTTGCAGTGTTGTAGAATTAGAGATAATTAGACGTAGAGATAATGAATACAAAGCAAAATGCTTGACAGATAGTGTGTATTCAACAAATAGTATAACGATAGTAATGTTCCATGTTAACTCTCTTGTTGACTTAAAAAATTTTCACAACAACTGTGAGAGTTGCAAGTTAAGTTGTATGTGAGTTAAGCTTTATTTGGGGCAAAAATGAGGACTGTGAGAGTTGCAAGTTAAGTTGTATGCAAGTTAAGCTTTATTTGGGGCAAAATGAGGACTGCAGCCTGGGAGACAGCTGACAGCTCTGAAAAATTGCTCCACAGAGGTAGGGGGAAGGTCAATATATATGGTTTTGGTGAAGGGGGAGTTCAGTGCAATCAAGCAATATCTTTGCAAAAGTTTTCTGTTAGTCACGAGGAGCTGAGGTCACCATGAAGGGATTTAGTGCTTTCCTGGATATGAGAAGATACATGGATCGAGCTCATAAAATCAGATCCTGAAAATATCTATCTATCTAAAGACATGTTCTGCCAGTTTTCCCAGAGCACAGAGTGCCTCACTCCTCATCTCCTCCGTGAACTCCCTTCAGGGGGTGTTGAGGGCCAACAGCTGCAGCAGCCCATGATCTAATCCTTGTAGAGGCAGATGACAAGTGCCAATATGGAGCCGACACTATCGTGAGGTTCTTTGTAATCTTTCTTATGCTCACCTAACCTGATGTGAAGTAACCATTGGGGGTTATACGACAGACTACATTGGGTAGATGTAGATGCAGAGCTCTGAGTCTCCTAAAAGAAAATCAGGTCTCCACTCCACTAAGCTAAATTTCTAGCCTGAAAAAAAGTGACAAACCCCTGGAGAAGAAGAGAGTCTCATTTTCTAGAGGGCCCCTGACCCTGAAATATCACTCTGCTAAGCTTCTACCTGGCACGCTGCAGGAGACAGCTGAGTGTATGACTGTGCGTGTGTACTCAGTCACTTCAGTCGTGTCTGACTCTTTGCGACCCCGTGGACTGCAGCCCACCAGGCTCCTCTGTCGTGGGATTCTCCAGGCAAGAATACTGGAGTGGGTTAACATGCTCTCCTCCAGGGGATCATCCCAACCCAGGGATCAAACTCACATCTCCTACTTCTCCTGCATTGCAGGTGGATTATTTACCCACTGAGCTACCTGGAAGGCCCCGAGTATATGACTACCTCGAGGAATTCATGCACCTCATAGGCTAACCATGGGCATATGTCAACTTTGGCTTGGGTAAACAGAGATGAGTATACCAAGAGACCATTCTTCTCGGCTATGCCACCTCAGCTGGCAGCTGTTTAACATAAAGTCACTCTGATGGCCTGAAAATGAATATAGTGATGATGTGTGTTCCTGCATGATTGAGAATCACTGTTTCCATGGTGTGGATGACGAACTGAAGACCAGATGAATATAGTGATGCTATGCATTCCTGCATGATTGAGAAGCACTGTTTTCGTGGTACGGATGATGAACTGAAGACAGAGGACTTTTCTTCTGGTCTAGAAGTTACAGGCTCTCAAAATTTTGGTAACAGGCTAAGAACAGTCTGAGTATTCAGTTGGGCTGACAAATGACTCTTGAAATATTGTTCAGGCTGGATGCAAACGGAACTTACCTGATGGGATGTCAGTGGCATTAATCGTGAGATGGGCAAAGGGCTGAATCTCAGGCTTGTTCCTTCTGTCCAGATCTAACCATGAACCTTCCACCATGGCTGGAGATAAAAGAAGTCATGTTAGCCCAAGGAGGAGTCACCTTAGGGGTTTTCAAATATTTGTAGAGGTCCAGGCTTACCTTTTTCTGCTCTAATGTGCTGCGATTTAACAATATGTTGCATTTCCTGCAATAAAAAGAAAAAAAAACTTATTTATATACTCAATCTTTAGATAAGGCAGTTAAGAATTCAGGACTGTTAGACATACCATAAATTAATCCTCTTTCCCTCAAAAGATGCCAAAAATACATAGGTAGTAAAATTTCTTGATGTTCTAAGTAGCCATCAGGGGACGTTCATCTCCAAAGAATTATCCTGATGTGCTTAAAAAGTAGATTATACACATACTATCTAACAAAATAGTTCGGACAGTAAGAGGAAATAAAAGACAGTGTAAATTATAAAACATGGAATCACCAAACATAATTAAACATTTGTAGCAGGTACACAAACGAAGATGAAGTTAACTAGGAAAATACCAAGTATCACAGAATATATGACCGTCTTAAATCTTTAGGGAGGCTCTTTTTATGTCTATTTCATCAGTGAAATCCCGTTATAACATTGAAGCTCAGCCCATAAGAAGGAGAAAGATGCCTGGCTCCCAGTGGTTAATTTTTTATTTTTAAAAGTCACAGTGTATTTAAAGTACTACATGAACGTCCAGGAGCTTTTAGATTACCAATAATTAACTTAAAATATTGCCGCAAATAGAGGTGTAGAAGCTCAAGGCAGAAACAGAAAGAGCTCAAGTGCATAAAAAGCACTGTTGTTGTTTAGTCGCAAAGTCGTGTCTGACTCTTGGTGATGTCAGGGACTGCAGCCCGCCAGGCTCCTCTGCCCATGGGATTTCTCAGGCAAGGACACGGAGTGGGCTGCCATTCCCTTCTCCAGGGGGTCTTCCCGACCCAGGGATCGAACTCACGCCTCCAGCACTGGCAGGCACATTCTTTACCGCTGGCTCCTGGGGAAACCCCACACAAAGGGCACAGGTAAGTGCATATCTCCATTTGAGCCCTGACAGTGAGGGGGCCAATAGGTAACTGCAGGCCCACTGAAATCAAGACCTTAGCTCCTATTACATAGTAAAGCAATGTGGATGAAGCGTCAGGCTTTGACTTCAGGTCAAATCCCTTCCCAGTCCCCTGGATGTACTAACATACATACTAACAGCACCTTGATCATAGGTGGCCTCTATCATAGGCGGTTGTGAAGATGCAGTGAGCTCATACACGAAGGCACTTAGCAAAGGGTCTGGTAAATCCATACATGCAAATACTACTAGAGAGACTTGCCTGGTCGCCTTGCAGGGGACACAGGTTCGATCCCTAGTCAGGGGACTAAGATCCCACGTGCTGAGGGGCAACTAAGCCCTTGTGCCACTGTGCAGCCTGTTGCCACAAGGAAAGATCCCACATGACATGATAATCAAGACCCGATGCAGCCAAATAAATAGATAAATGGATACTTTACAAATAAATAATTAGTAATCTTAACACTAGAAACACTCTGGAGAGAATCCGAATTTCTGTGTTATTGGGGTGATGATCCATGCTAACTACCCCCCCCCTCCACAATGTTTAAAAGATGGGCCAGATAGCTCAAGTTCTTTGAGTGTCTGGAGACAAGGACTTTGAGACAGATGATGGATGGGTAGATAGAGGCAGAAACACAGTTTCAACTGCTAAGAGTTAGAAGTGATAAAATTACACTGATTCTCCTGTCTGCCTTCAGGACCCCCAAGAGAGAAGAGAATCTATGCTACTTTTTTTTTCTATTTTTAACTGGAGGATAATTGCTTTACAATGGTGCGTTGGCCTCTGCCACACTTTACCATGCATCAGCCACAGGCATACACAGGTCCCCTCCCTCTGAACCCCTCCCTCCCCCTCCCCACCCCACCCCTCACCGGGTGGGGCCCCCTGTGTCACACGGCACATTCCCACTTGCGATCTGTTTCACATGTGGTCACGGATCTGTTTCCGTGCTATTCTCTCAACCCGCCCCACTCCCCTCTTCCCCTAAGAGAAAGACAAATATCACATGTTAACACACGTGTGTGGAATCTAGAAAGACGGTACCGATACACCTATTTGCAGGGCAGCAATGGAGACGCAGGCATGGAGAATCTTATTTTTAAAGGCCCTTGGAGGACACAGCAGAGCTGTCTTCATTACCTGTTCTAACAGCCTAAAGAAGTCACAGTGTGCCTAACTTTCTTTTTTTGCTCATTGGGATCATTAAAAAAAAATTTTATTGGCGTATAGCTGCTTTACGCTGTTGTGTGAATTTCTCCTGTTTGGCAAAATGAACATATATCCACATATCCCTTCCCTTTTGGACGTTCTCCCCCTTCAGGACACCACAGAGCATTAAGTAGAGTCCCGTTTGCTGTACATAGGTTCTCATTAGTTATTTTATACACAGTATTGATAGTGTATATATGTCAGTCCCAAGCTCCCAATGATAGTGTATATATGTCAGTCCCAAGCTCCCAATTCCTCCCATCTTCCCCTTTCCCCTTTGGTATCCATAGATTTGTTCTCTGACTTTTACTGGAAACTTTCAGCCTCATCCAGGACTGCCTCCTGCCCTTATTGCTCACGGGCATCACTGCAGGACACTTCTAGGCAAATGGTGGCTGGTGCTTTGGGGCTGTGCGGGGTAGTGGTCCTCACCACTGCCTTTCCCTCTCCCCACTCCATCCAAGATTTATTTCTCTCCCCTGCTGACTGCCCATCCCTCGACTCTCTTCTCATGATCTCTGGGTTCCCAATGGGACCCTGATTTCTGGAATTTCCTAGTCTTCCCTGCAATCTCAACAAAGATTTATAAAGGCACAACCTACCCATTTTACAGTGTGTGTGTATTTATGCATTTAAATATACACAATGATTCATTGTATACATATCTTGCAAATGTGTAATATATTGCATACATAATGTATCTGTATTCATTATATATATTTATACATATAAAATGAAGATATATATTGGGTTGGTCAAAAGGTTTGTTCAGATATTTTCTGTACCATGTTATGGATGAACCTTTTGGCCAACCCAACATATGAAATGTATATACAGTGTATATAGCTTTATATATTTATGATTAAATATATCTTTATACATTGTGTATCTCCTTATCTATTTATATAGGTGTCTATAACGTACCTTCATCTGATCACTACCTCTGAGAAGACTGGAACAGGAGTTGGAACCTGGATGACAGGAGTTCTGAGACTTCAAGCTGCCTCTCATTTTCCCTCTAGCCCTGATGGACCTCATCATCAGAAGGAAGAGGGGGCAACGGGGTTCAAGAGGGCAGAGTAGAAGGATGCACTCGTCTCCTGCCGGAGCCCCCAAAACCACAACCAGCTGTTGAGAAGGAAGTGGGGAGGGAAGAAGGAAGCGGGGCCCAGTGTGACACAGGCCTGGTGCCTGCTCGGGGCTTTCCTACTGAGAAGAGCACTTGATCTTAAGAAAGACGAGGAAAGAAACATCGTGCTAGCTCTGTGGTTCTCAACCTTGCACGTGAAGCCTGACCTCCCGGGGTGGAGTCAGAATTCACATTTCTCACAGGTGAGCTGGCGTGGATGACCTGGGGCCTCCATTTGAGAAGAGCAATCCCACTCTCCTCCGCAAAGATTTCAGAGGTGCGCACCTCTGAGATTTTCTCAAAGTTTGAGACCGCCCAAAGAAGCAGCAGACAAAAGTCACCGATAAGTGGGCAGAGAAACTGTGTTCTCTCCCACCTGGGGATGAACTTCTGTCCATTTAATCAGCAGCTGCTAGGTCAGTGCTGTCATAGAATCTCTTTATTACAAGAACATTCAATAACCAGAGCCATTCAGAAGCACTTTCAATGTCTGCTTTAAAAAAAAAAAAAATGTGTCATGACCCAGGATGAATTAAAACTCAAGCTAAACACCCATGAGGTAACGCTACTTCCATGTTATACAATTTTGGATATCCAAGAATTGTAGTTTCTTCTCAAAAACCATATGGGGAAGCATCCACATGAAAAGCAAAATACAAAAAATGTAGACTCAATGTCTGTTCTTATATTCTTACCCCACCTCCAATCTTCTGAACTCTAAGATCACTCTTATTTATGTGTACGCATCTTAACCATGAACATAACAAAAAGACTATAGTTTTGGGGTGCCCTGGCCCAACTCCAGCCAGTCTAACTCAATTAGTCTGATATTGACTTGCTAGTTTTTTTACCAATAATCTCCCCAGGTGACTGTAATATGTAGCAGGCATAGAGAAACACTACTATTTGAGCATTTCCATGAATGGTGGTTTAGTGAGAGCTCTATTTAGTCATTTACTATATTCTCACGATTTATCTGGGAAATCCCATGGACAGAGGAGCCTGGTGGGCTACAGTCCACGGAGTTACAAAGAGTCAGACATGACTGAGCACACACATGCTCCTCTTTAGAAGGCTATACTCTAGGAGGCTGGCAGGAAAGCATCAGTGGCCTGTGATGGTGTTCTGGACATGCTGCCCCCAAAATAGTGATTTAGCAAATGGAATATTTTAAACCATATGATTTTGAGAAATGTCAGATGCTGGAGGAACTACTTGGCTTCCTTCTCCTCCCCTGAAGCAGGTCATAGACCCTCAGGTGAGAGGTACCTTCCCCATCTGGAAGAAAGGAGCCTCTTTATCTCTTAAGATAGGGAGGACACCCAGAGGAAACTGAAGGAGAATGAATACATGTGTATGTATGGTTGAGTCACTCTGCTGTCCGTCTGAAATTATCACAACATTGTTAATCGGCTATGCATGCATACCTGCTAAGTCGCTTCAGTCAGGTCTGACTTTTTGCAACCCCATGGACTGTAGCCCACCAGGCTCCTTTGTCCAGGGGATTCTCCGGGCAAGGACACTGAGTGGGTTGCCATGCCCTCCTCATTAATCGGCAACTATATGCCAATATAAAATAAGAAGTTTAAAAAAAAAGGTTACACAATTTTCGTATAAAGGAACAAAGACTATGTGGGCAACAAATATTGGAAAAATCATATTACAGAGCTGTGTCAGAGGTTGATTAATAAAAACATTATCCTGTTTTTTTCTATTTGGGGAAAAAAGTGATTGCTGCAAGATTTAGCTTA